AGAGAAAGCTCAAATGTGTTGCTGCATTCAATATGTCTCTAAGTCTGCCTTCTTTAAAAAGAACTGGAGGCACTGTAATTACCCTGAAAAGCTTTTTGTAAATACCTGCTTTTCTAAATCTTTTCACTGGATGAAACAGAAATGGCCTTGTCTCAGAACAGCTAATGACAGCAGTTCCCCCTTTTTCACTTCTAAGCCTGTGACATGTAATTTTGCTGTTCCTGTAGTAACTAACATTAAGAAAAACCCTAAATAATTGCCTTTTCAAAATATTGCTCTTTTGTAGAAGAGAAGGCTTTATTCTTCTTGTAGAACACCTTTTGTATGTCCATCCTGCTTTTGATATCACTTGCTCAGCATGGAGAAGAAGAGAAAGCTAGGAAAATTGTGGATAAGTGGAATGAAGCTTGAAAAATATTATTTTTCTCTCAGAGGAAAGTTTCTTGGCTTTGTAGTAAGAAAACCTCTTTGTGTCACGTAAGTAAAAATGGTAGGGCAAGAAAGGTCAGGAATAAGACTCTGACTTGCAGCCCAATACTATTGAAAAAATAAAATCCAATTCTTAAGAAAGGCAGGTGGGTCCAGATCGGGTGGTTACTTGTCCACACTGATCTCACAAACGTTTCTGATGCACGCTGAAGACACCATAGCTTACAGGGTGATGTGGAATTCCATCCAGCCTTGCATGTCATACACCTACCAATCAGGAATTGAAAAGGAACAGGCTCAGTGTAAATAATATGTGTGCATGTTTTAATAAAATTCGTAAGACATGGCTTATTAATGTTGTTTAAATAAATCTATCTTCTTTTCAGGAGGAATGCCAAAAAAGCCGATGAACAGTCTAAACAAACATAGCGATGCTATTGCTTCTGCAGAAGTTTCTGTATTTCCTGAAGTGTTATTTTGCCTCATTATTCATTAGTGCATCATAACAGACATTTTTTCTTTTTTAAAATTAAAATATTTTCCCTCATCTTGTACTGGCTACAGAGTGAAGCACATCAGTGTCACAAACACCATTAAAAATTGACCAGGGACCCTTTTTTACAGAAATACCAAAAAGTTCATCATTTAAAATGCAGACTGTACAAGAACTCAAACCACTGAAAAAAAAATAATAGGCAGAAATAAGAAACTGCAAAATCAGTAGCTTCTATAACTTTCTGAGCACTGAAAGGCATTGCTGATTATTTATTTATTTATTTATTTATTAATGAAGACCTATGATGGCTCAAAACCTTGAGCAAAGAGAGTTGGTAAACAGCAGTTGTCCCTCTTTGTTGGAGATGCAATTTCACTTCTGGAAAATAGCCCAGGGAATGATCAACTGGATGATGGGAACTTGCACATTTCAACTTCCTTGACCAAACTTTCTTTTTCAAATTTGTCTTGAAATTCTGCTCCTTACATGTATGTTATTTAGGAGTGAAATGTATGTAGTTTATGAGGACCTTAAAGAAAGCTACAGTGAGGTAGGGACTGGGCTCTTCTCCCAAGCACCAAGCGATAAGAAGACAAATGGCCTCAAGTTGCACCAGGGGACGTTCAGGTTGAATATTAGGAGAAATTTATTCACTGAAAGGGTTGTGCATCATTGGAATAGGATGTCCAGGGAAGTGATTGAGTCAACATCCCTGGAGGTCTTCAAGAAATGTGTAAATGTAGTAGAACTTCGTAGCATGACTTGTCAGTACTAGGTTAAAGGTTGAGCTGGATGATCTTAGAGGTCTTTTCCAACCTGAATGATTCTATGATTCTAGTTATCCCACTGCAGCTTTTACTATTAACAGCTATGAGTGATTCTCAAAAATTCCCTTTTCTATCCCATGCCACATGATCTCTTACTCAAAACTTTTTAGTCTGGCAAACTGCAGCAGTAGTCTACTATTCTGATATTTACTGATAGATTAGATTCAGGTGAGGAGAAATAAAAGCTTGCAGAGCACTCCAACTGAAACGCAAGAAAACTAGGTTTTCTTTATTAATGCTATTGAACTGTGTTTAGTTTGTGCCAGTTCTGTGAGTTTAGAAGATGTTGTGGCTGTGTGAACCAGGATATCAATAAATGTCAAAGTTCGTTGATTTCTGCTGTGTGGAGTTAGCAGTTGCTTATCCAGAGAAGAAAACCTACCAGAAAACCACTGTCCCAGAGGGCAAGAGTGTTGCCATAGCACTCTGGAAAAGGGCCGTGAATACTAAGAGTCATTCCTAACAAAGCTGCAGCTAGGGCCCCTAGTGGGGTAATTCCTTACGGTGATGTGTGAGCAACTGAGATTGAAGTCACCAATGAAATCATAGCACAAATACTTTATGTTTCTTCTAAATAGGCCTTGTGGTGTATTTAGAAATCTATTTTCTGTAAGTATGATTTATAAAGCCCTTTGTTCATGTGGTCTGTTACAGATCACGAAGGGCACTTAATAATTATGAATATGGATTTGCATGGGGTGGTGCTACCAGAATACTATGGTTCTCCAGTCTTTATGGACAGCTGCTTTCTATCGCAATGGAAACACAAAAAGTCTTTGATATTTCTCAGAAATTCTCCTTTTACTTGGTTATTCTGGTGGGTATGGCTGTATGTCAGCCATCAGGCTGTTGTGCAAGTGGTTATTAGCCCTTCTTTCCATTCACCAGCCCCCCAAACAGTATTTACAAGCTGAAGCTAAAAAAATCACATAAATCTGAAGCTTGTGTTTTAGTATTCAAAAATAAGAATTACAGAATATATTTGTTTGTGTATCTTTTTTGATACCAATTCACACTGTTATAAAGACCAGTGTATTATGGTTAACACAGCCAAATGATGTACCTGAGCATTTAATTTAGAGCAGATCCATTCAGAGCTTTCCAGGAACAAGGGAAAGAATGCTGGTGTGAGTCTAACAGGCAGCAAACACCAGTTACTTTTCAAAGGAGTTATATTTGTATACCAAGCCAGCAAACATTGTAACTCCTTAGTATAAACTTCGCAACATATGTGTTGTTTGGGTTAACACTAGCACTGTAGTTTCTTAAAAACAGGACTCTAGGAATTTGAAGGTAACAAGTAACATTAAGTCGCTGTTGTGCACAAGCTGCAATTTTTACACTGCAATTTTACATGTGAGAACAGAGCGGGAGATTTTGGTTGCGCGTGACAATTTTTTGAAAGCGATGAATGTCGGCATCATTTCAAAATCAGTTAAAGCTGTGAAAAAGATCTGCTCTTCAGTGTTTTCCTGTGGCCCACCTCTGCATATGGTAGGAGTTTGAAACCCTGTTGTAACACACTAGGCAATACACACAGGTGCAAGTTTCCTTGTCTTTTTTAGGCACCTGCTACATGTGCTCTTTGGGTGCCTGGGGATGCCAGCAAGGGCTAATGAATAGTTTGATTCACGAGGATGAACCCAGATACCATTTTGCGTGGTTCCTTTTGAACTGGGGGATATTTTGTAAGACCTGTAGCCACTTGATAAACCTCCCTCACTCGAACCCTTACAATAAAACTGACGAACTGCTGCCCACAGCCGTGGGGAGGGCAGCTGGACTTCCATTACACATTACGCCCTGCAGTGCTGTTTCACCCCTCGGACACTTCCCTCACCCACCGCCCACAACAGCACCTCTTTCTCCCTCCCGAGCCCATTTTGGGCTCAAAACCCAGCTGCAGACGAAAACTGGGGGCTGACAGCCAGGGGAAGGGGGCTGCCCCTGCCCCATGCCGGCGGCCGGCTGAGGCGCCCCGACATGGCGGCCCTTCCCGCCGCCGAGGGGCGCTGAGGGGCGGCCGGGCTGGGGCTGGCGGCGAAGGGGTGAGGGAGGCGGGCCGCGGGGCTGCACCTGCCGCCGTGCCCGCCCGTCTCCCGTAATCGCAGCTGCTGCTTTTTTTTTTTTTTTTTTTTTTTTTAATTTTCTAGATCCCTGGGTTTCCTTCTCTTTCGCCATCCCCGCCGTGGACCGCGTGTGCCCGTCTCTCGCAAGGCGGACAGCGGGAGGCAGCGGGGAGCCGGTCGGCAGGAGGGGCGGCGGGGAGCTGCGTCCCCCATCTCCCCTCATCTCCCTCCATCTCCCCCCATCTCCGTCTCTCAGCCGGGTGAGTGGCGCCCGGGTGGCCCCTCCAGGTTTTGCTTCGTCCCTTGTGGCCCTAAGGGACGTGGGGTGGCGATGGGGGTCGGGAGGACAATCAGTCACCACGACCGGGAGGGTCTTTCCCCACCTAGATGACCCCATGAGAAACGGATTATTGGCTGTTAGATGTAATAATATTTATATACAGCAGTTTGGGTTACTTGGTAGTTGCCCAGCGTGCCCAGCCAAATACGTGCCTCGGCACAGCGAGCGGGGACTCGCACCACGCAGTGGGGCTGGGGACCCTGCACCTCAAGTGACTCGGGAAGGGTGCGGGGAGTTTGGTGGGCGGCAGCCGGGGGTGACCCCTTCACTGGGTGTGGGGACAGGGGAGGCTGCCTGCGGGGTCCGCAGGTATTGCTGCATGCCCTTCAGGTGCCAGGTGCAGCCCACCCCGCTGTAGGAAACATTTGCAGACCCCTTGTCGTTTGGCCTCTCGGAGCATATGGTCCTGGGGGGATCCAAAAGGGTGAGGGAAGTGATCGGCTCACTGCCTGGGAGTGTAAAGGTGAGGAATAATGGGCTTTTAAGTCAAGCTGGCAAAGGTTTAACAACATCCAGTGTTGGAAATTGGAAGTTTGACATCGGGAGACTAGAAAGGGAGTGCAGTTTCTTCAAATAACAACACTCGTTAGACCAGTAATTTCTTCTTCTTTTATTATTCATTTTAAAAATAAATAAATAAATCAAAAAAGCATCCTTGTTTTAAAGTCATGTCTGTTTTTTAACAGTTCTTAGTATGGGGAGATCTTATAGGCTGAGTGTGGGGGGAGGCTGGAACAGGTGATGGTGACAACCCCTTATTGCCTGTTGGACACGTAGTCAGGAGAGCTGTGCTGTCTCAGAGAGCACGCTCTTTATAATTCCCTTGCGTTCCCTTTACTCCCCTAACTTTCTTTGTTTTTGCTCAGGTAACACCGATGGCTAGCTTTTGGCTGTATGTTTGTCTGTGTGTTTCCGAATCAAATTATCCCCCATGTGCAATTACAGCCAGGGGACTCTGTGCTTGATTTGCATCTACGTGATTCCAGTGAATTTCTGACGATGAGAGTTGTTGCCTGTGGATCTGAGTAAGGTTTGAGGAACACATTTTGTCTGGCTTGGAGGTATGGTTATGCTTTCTGGACAGTATCAGTGTGCTTAAACATTTTAGGGAACTTAATATGTTAATGTTTCTAAGCTGCCTTTAGTGCTCTGTGTACTCTGAAGAGATGCTTATCAGCATGCTTTGACTCTTATACATTTCACGGTAGTTGAAGTCCTAAGTTCTTTTGGGATGGAGGAATAATTCAATCAAAATTCATTGTGAAAAGCCTTTTTTTTGGGTTGGTGCTGCATTCCTAGAGTAGAAAGACAGTAGGTATGAAGGATCTTAATAAGCAGTTCACGGTGTGATGTTGCAGTCATCTTGTTTGCATTATCTACAAAACATATTCTTCTTACATAATGCTATTTTTTCCAAATCTCCTTATCGGGGAGAGGTGAGTTTCCTATCTGATGATTAACTCTGTTAGTAAGATTCAGCTTTGGGGAGGTGAGGAGAAAGGGAATCTGCTGACAGAGCGAAGGCTGAAGTCAGCTGCAGTGCAGGATTGCTGAGTGACTGAGCACGCTGTTTTCCCAGTTCTTTATTGCTGCTGCCTTGCCTACACTTACTCTGCCTTCTTATCAAACTTTCTTGATAGCAGGGATTAATGTATTGATGTGTTATCCTGGAGCCTGGTAAGAAAGCAGAATAGACAAGAATGGCTGGAAGAGTGAACCTTGAAGAACAGCATTGCTCTGGATCCAAGGGGAGTAGTAAAAGGTATAGGCATAGTAGATATAGGAAGCTGATACAGGTATATTTCTCTTCGGATCCTTAGAGCATTTTTTCCATCTATTTATGCAGGACAACCACATATACATGTAGTGTATGGCAATGAAGCCTTCTGTTCAGAGCAACCTTGCTCTGCAACAGGAAAGATCTGTCTAAGCTTGTATCTTGGGCTGTCCTGGGTTGTGACAAAGTGGCCCAGTTCTGTGGCGTATCTATTTATTTATTTATTCTTATTGTTGTGTGTTGGGATTTTTGTGTCCCTCCCAGTATGCTGAGGCATAGCTGCAGAGCCAATTGTGCAGGAGCTGAATTTGTCTGTGTGTTCTTGGTTGTGTTTTTTTCCTTCAGTCTTTACCTTGGCCTGCACTTCATAATGCAATTACTGTAATCTGCACCTTTTCATTTTCACTGTAATTCTTCCCTGGGTATGCTTTTTATGTTGCTTAGAAATTTAGAGATGAAACAAAATTCCACAGTGGTTCACACTACGTTCTGCAAATGAGTATTAACAGGAATGTCCTTAAATGAGCTGCTTTTGTTGTTGTTGTTTGTTTGTTTGTTTGTTTTCTTTATTTAAGAGACTAGCTCTGCACCCTCACTTCAATGCATCTCTGGAATATTTATATTCTCAGGGGCATCTCTTGCTGTTGACATGTAAGTTCTTGTTTCAGTTGGTCTGTGTCTTGGTTCCAGATGAATTTGCCATAGGTTTTTTTTGTGTGTGTGTGAGAAATTACCTTTCACTGCAGACTTCTATTGCAAGGAAGACTGCTTTTAGGATTGATTGTATTACGCATTGGGATGACTTGTGATCTGAATGCAGCTGAACTTATTAGTACCTCTTCACTGAGACTCCGCTGGGTTTAGGGTTAGACTAATATCCTTCACCTGTATGCCTTATGAATAGTGGAAGCAGTGGTGCATCAGCAGATGAAAGCAAAACATGTCCACAGCATGAACGTACCTTTTTTTTTTAACGTATATTGTAGAGATGGAGACAGTGTAAGGATTGTACATAGCACCAATGCGTTTCTATGGCTAGAACAGCGGAGTCGAGCTTGAGGGAATTGCTTTTTGTACATATGGTATTGAACTTCCAGGTTGTTATCTGAATACCATGGAAGCAAATGTCCATGACCATGGGAACGTTGTTTCCAAGGATTCTATTATTTGACAGACTTAAGGGAGAAAGCACTGTTTGAAAGCAAGCCATTTGTCAACCATATTTTTCATTTGCAGTTACTACACGACAGGATTGATTGCTTTTTGAGCAACTGTGTACAAGTTGAAGCTGAGCTTGGTTCCTCATTTCAGGGGCATTTCAGAACTATGGAAGAGGTAGGTCAGATTTAAGAAGAGACAATATCTAAAACCTCATTTCCTTTTCTTGAATTTCAACACAAAATTGCTAGGGCTTGATAGGCTTGGGGGGAGAAAAATGGAGGAAAAGGAAATGAATTGTAGTTCTCAGAATATTAAACCTGCTTAAAATAATAAACAGGCTTATGAACTGAAACATGAAAGGTGCTTACAAATGGACATAACTTCAGAAGGATAAGAGAAGTGTAACTCAAACATACTGTCAATTAAATAAAGATCTGGTGATGAGATTACCTTCCATTCATGTTAGTGCAGAAATAGTACTAGCTGCGTTATGGAGTCTGTTAAGAGGGATGGAAGAGAATGAGTTTTATATGGGGGGAGGTAATATCAGAAATCTCATCTTGTGTAGAGTGATTTAAAAGACATAAATATAATGAAAGTGAGTATTCTTCAAAGCAGTAGGTTCAGAGAATTTTTGGAGATAAATAATAATAATAAAAAGGCAATATGGCTGGCTTAAGTGTTATGTAACATCGCAGAATGCGCTTTTTTTTTTTTTTTCTAGCAGTTTTTTGTACACTGACTGTTGTACCTGCAAATTTTCTCACGGCTGCTAACTATGAAGCCGGTTCCTTGACATTTGTCATGCTCTGAAGTTAAGGTATAAATATATGCTTCTCTCCAGGAGTATTGCTGTCCCTTCAATCTATAGATGTATTTTAAGTAGGCTTAGGTGATATACTAGTGAGCACGTCTGTTAACTATCGGCATCTTTGTCTAGAGTACAGCCCTCTCCATTGTTAGTGTAACCAGTGTTAGAGGGTGGAAAAAGAAAGAAGCCAAAGCTAAGGTTATAGTGGGAGTGTTGTATAAACACTGTCTGGTTTTGAAGCTCTCACTCTCAGAAAAATGTGAAATATGAACAAGATGGATGTTGTATGGAGGAAAAAACATTAATGCACTGGAGAATAATGATTCACTAGGTGCAACTGAAAACTAACAAGTGAGAAGGATATGCCTTCTTGGTATTTTCTTTCTGCTCAAAGGTGTACATCCTTCAGTGAAGTGAGTATGGCAGCAAAGAAGGGTGGAGAGGTATGAGTAACCAGTGCAAACACGGGTGTCATCTGGCTTGCACTGCAGTGAGTAAGGAATGCACTGACAGATGAGGGCGTGACAAGTTCAACATGTGGTGGAGCTGGTATATTCATAGGTACTGTACTTTCGTTGGTAAACATTTGTCTGGTTTCGGCTTTTCAAAAACAAGGGCCTGAATGGAGACCATTTAGGTCAATTTAACTGCACGTTCTACTAATACCCAGGGTGTTGGTTTTGCACAGAAGAAATAACACTCCTCTGGATTTCCTGCTAATCTGAATGCCTTTAGGCAGGGGGTTGTTCTGGTTATGATTGCGATGATCTTTTAGAGCGTTGTTCAAATACTAGCATCTGTAGTAAGCTGCAAGTCAAACCTGATCAGCCCTTTTTTTCGTGTTTGAGAAACTGTCTGGTTTGCCAGGAATTTGTAGTTTACCCTGAAGTCACTTTGAATCATGATCTTGCTGATGATATTTCATTTCTGTTACGGAAGGCAGCAAAAACATTTCAGAATGATTTGTGGGAAATGAGTTCTGAAAATCCACATTCTCAAATAAGAATTAAAATACATAATGCAGTAGTTATATATAAAAAATACTTTGAATTGAAATCATGAGCTCAATTCTGATTAATTTGGGGTGTTTTTAATGTTTGTTTTCCACACCATGTTTCCAGCCATAAAAAGACTACGTGTGGAAGTAAAGGCAGTTAAGCATTCAGCTTTAGGCTTGGTGGAGTACTGGTGCATGTAAAAGCCTTCTCACTAACTTAGCAAAGATAGTGCTGATGATTAGATGGCTAGGGTAAAATTGTGTTTTGAGAAGATGAGGAGAAATAAATGTTCTAAAACATTTGTGCTCATTGTCCGCATCCTCCATCTTCCAGTGAGACTGTAGATGGTTTTAGCTGAGGCACAAGCTTGGGTGCAATCCTGCTTCTGATTTCATCAGTGTTTGTATAGCTCTGTGCCTTTTGTGTGAGGAGAACAAACTCTGTTATGATCTGCATTAACAGTAACAAAACTGTAGCAGAACTTGTAAATCAGCAACAAAGTACTGTGCTGATCACTTCTCAGAGTCCTGTCGCTGTCCCCAGAGAGCAGAGCTCAGCGCCTGCCCCTCGGCTCCCCTCGTGAGGGAGCTGCAGGCCGCCATGAGGCCTCCCCTCAGCCTGCTCTGCTCGGGGCTGAGCAAACCAGGGGGCCTCAGCTGCTCCTCATACACATTCACCATCTTTGTAGCCCTCCTTTGGACACTCTCTAATGGTTTCATGTCCTTTTAATACTGTGGTGCCTCAAACTGCATGCAGTGCTTGAGGTGAGGCCGTACGAGAAGGGACGCTTGTTTTCTCTGTTGGGCTGTTGTGTGCCTGCTCTCGCCGTGAAGGTTCTGGCTTTCAGCCACTGAACCTCCACAGTCAGTCATATGGTGGCTTCTGAGGAGATTGCTCTGAGTGGGCTTTGTTAATAGATTAATACCATTATTAAACTTCACCTTAAACCTAACACATTGGTTCAGAGACATGCTAAATGTTTGTAGAATATCACTTTAAAATGTGTAGTAATTTCACAAATACTTCATTAGCCTTCATCGTCATACTCCCTTCATACTTCTCCCTTCGGTTGAAAAAGCATGTTAGAAAAGCAGTAACTATTCCTTAACCTTAAATCTGGGCAAGATTCAGGTGATACTGGAAAGGGAGCTATCAGACAATATAGCATCGATCGCAAGTTTTTTTTCTTCATTTGCATCACTAGCGCAGGAAAAGCAGATCTCAAATTTGAAAACTCCACGAATGAAGAAAAATGAAAGATCTTTAACTGTATGAACTATTTGTTGTGGAATAGTTTATTGTAAATACTGTGCA